GCTGGAGTCCCGCCCCCCCCCTCCTCCTCGATCCTCCTCGATCCTCCTCCCCGATCCTCCTCGGTCCTCCTCCTCCTCCCTCCGCCTCCTCCTCCCTCCTCCTCCTCCTCCTCGATCTTTCTCCTCCTCGATCCTCCTCCTCCTCCTCCTCCTCCTCGATCAGATTCGATCGTTCTCCTCGATCCTCCTCCTCCTCCTCCTCCTCCTCCTCCTCGATCCTCCTCATCTTCCTCACCCTCCTCGATCCTCCCCCTCCTCAGTCATCGTCCTCCTCCTCCTCCTCGATCCTCCTTCTCCTCCTCCTCCTCGATCCTCCTCCTTCTTCTCTTCCTCCTCGGTCCTCCTCCCCCATCCTCCTCGATCCGCCTCCTCCTCTTCCTCCTCCTCCTCCTCCTCTTCTTCCTCCTTGTCCCCCCCCCTTTCCTTACAAATCAAAATTATCCCTGTCGCACCCCGAGGCCAGTTTTTAGGGCGGGCCAGGCGTTTCGCATGGGATTTCCTCATCACTTATGACCCTGAAGCTTCAACATTGACAACAGTTTCACATATGAAGGGTGGGTGGTTTTCAGCATGTGGTTTCCGCCTTCGCGCCACACACAATCGTGTTAGACATTGCAAGAATGTCACTGGTTGAGGGCGGGTCGTTTTCAACATGTAATTCTCGCTTTGGCACGTCGCACATTTGTTGTTAAAAAGTGTGAGAGGTTCAAGGATTGTGAGCGGGTCGTTTTCAAGATGTACCTCTCGCCTATGCGTTGCGCACCTTCGTTTAAAGAAGTTGCAAGAGTATCATGGATTGAGGGTGGGTCGCTTTCAAAATGTGGTGTTCGCCTTTTTGTCGCTGCGCACATTCGTTTTAAACATGCTCAAGCGTTTCACGGATTCCCATGATTAACGTACCAGAAATGTGTTTTTAATGCGATTCACGATTGTCAGGGCGCAACAGTTACACTGATTCGCGGTGTTGAAGTCCTAGGACTGGTGTTCTGGCACGATTCAGGACCGTCAGGACGCAACAGTCAGGTTGACCATCGTCGGCGAAGTTCCGAGAATGGTGTTTTGGCACGCTTCAGGATATTCAGACGGTTGTCTACCATCAAAGGCAGAAAAAAACGCCCCTACCCTGGTTTACGAGGCGCTGTGCTCTGAAACTCCTGTGGGCTGACAAGGTAAACCCTGCGTGGTGTGCCGCGTCCTGGCGGCTCTAGGCCCTGGGGGTTCCCAGGAGGTTTACAGACCACGCACTTGTAATCCAGGGTAGGGTCGTTTTTTCATCCCTCAATACCAACGGGGCACCTCCTCAGTGGAAATAGGGGAACGAACAATGACACAAACATAAAAACTCAGAGGTCCGCGCGGATTTCTCGGATCGGCGCTGGACCCCCCCTCCCTGGCGCACGGAGCGCGCAGGGGGCGGCGCGGGAGGCGCCGCCGGGGGGCCTCAGCGCCGATCCGGGACATCCGCGCGGACCTCCGAGTTGTCACGTTTGTGTCATTCTTCGTGCCCTTCAGGAAGCGAATCCCTGGAGAGGCCTCCGAGGCTGGGTTTTTTTTTGGGGGGGGAGGAGGGTGCTCCTCCTCCTCCTCCTCCTCCTCCTCCTCCTCCTCCTCCTCGCATTCCAGCATCGTTGCTGAGTCTCGGGTTTGCACTGGTCATCCCGTCGCTTCGACGGCGCGCCCCGCCCTCCTCGGGCGCGGGCGGGCACGCGGCGCGCGACGGTCAGGGGCAGCGTCGGGGGGGAATGGGGCTCCGGGCGGGGCTGCACCGAGCCCCACGCGTCGGGGGCCCCCAAACGGGGTGGTGACCACACCGTGTGGTGAGTCGGTGGGGGTTCGGGGTCACCGCACGGTTTTGGGACTTGGGTCGTTCTCCGAGGATGTCTCGGGCGGTTGGGACCTCCAGGGTCCCAAAACCGTGTGGTGACGGACCATGCGGTGAGGTCTTTGCGGATTTCGAGGTCGCCGCCGGGTCTGTCACCACACGGTTTTGGGACACCGCCGCGACGAGGCGGGGGTCGACGCAAAAATTGCTTGACCTGCAGGGCGAGAGCGAACCTCTTCCGCCGAAAGCTACGCGGGGCGCGCACAGCTTTCATTGGCGGAGAAAGGGTGGGAGAAGGCGGGGCCTCACGCGGCCAGGGGCGGGCGAAGCCCAGGGATCAGGCGGTGCCGAACGGGTCGACGCAAAAACAGGGGTCGGTCAGAGCGCCAGATCTCGCAGGGTCCTGCAGTAGCCAGGGCTGCGCTGACCCGGGCTCGGGTGCAGGATCCTGCAGGATCTTCGTGGGGGATTACACCTTGGGCTTCTGTGAATAAGCCTGGGGGGTCCCCCCCGACGAGGGTCAACCTCGCCTCGTCGCCGTGCCGCGACGGGGGTCGGGGCGCCTTCGGCGCGCGGTGGCTGCCCGCGACGGGGGTCGATGTGGGGCTGTCGGCGGGGGTGACGCCCCCCCGACGCTTATTACGAAACTCGGTGTAGGCTCAGACGGGACTGCATCGAACCCCAAGCGCCCACGCATCGCCGATGGGGCCCAGTAGCCCACCTCCTCGGGGTTGAGGTCGGAGGTTTTCGGGCGTTCTCGTCGGTCCTCCGATGCTGTCCCGCCTCGGGATGCGCTCCGGCGGCAGCGCTTCGCCATGGGGCCTTCGAGGGATGCCCAGATCGTCCCGAGCGGCCGCTGGAGGCCCGAACTGTGGCCCGAGAAGCAAGTGGGACGGGGGGGGGCCACAGTGGAGACCCATGCCAAGAAGCACCCTGCTCGCCTCCAGGGTGTCCTGGGGGTTCTCGGGCTTCGATGGTTTTGCTATGGGAAGCATGGCGTGGCCACGCCAAAAATCGATGGACGTCCTGGGGTCTCAAGATTGGGCTTCTTGTGGAAGGTGTCTTGTGGACTGGCCTCCTGGACGCATCGAGCCCCTATCGCCCATTCATCGCCGATGGGGCCCAACAGCCTGCCCCGCCCAGGAGCGTGCGGATTCGCTACCGTGGGCATATTGCGGATCTGTCGGCGACGTATCGCCGATTCCAGGTCGATGCTTATCCCCCTGAGCTGGCCCCCCCCGCCCTGGTGTCGGGTCGTCCTTCGGCTCTCCGGCAGCCCGTTCGGAGCGAGTCGGCGTGCGGGCAGCCCCGGCACCGCACTCGGCGAGGCGCAGCTTCTGCGAGGCATCCCGAGCCTGGAGAGCCGCCGAGGCCCGAGGAAACTCCGAGCACCTCGAGAAGACCTCGAGCCTCCAAATTCCGGCCTGGCGCTTCTACGAGGCATCCCGAGCCTGGAAAGCCGCCGAGGCCCGAGGAAACTCCGAGCACCTCGAGAAGGCCTCGAGCCTCCAAGTTCAGGCCTGGCGGTGTCTCTCCCCCCCAAAGCCAGGCCGCCCCGATCGTTGCCCCATGCGAGCCTGGAGAGCCGCCGAGGCCCGACGAAACTCCGAGAGCCTCGAGAAGGCCTCGAGCCTCCACGCTCGGGCCTGGCGTTCTTCAGAGCGTGAATTGCCTACCCCGCTTTCGCTTCCAGGCAAAACCAAGTCATACCACGCGCCTCCTCGTCAAGCGGCCTGACCAGTACAGGCCGTAGTTTGGCATCGTTTGGTATCTCTTGGAAGCGAGGGTGGTCAAAAGCGAGGTAGGTTTGTTTGCCCCCTAGTTCTCTCCCCCCCGTCGAGCCAGGCCGCCCCGGTCGCTGCCCCCTCCGCAGCAGAGGGGCCGCCCGCGGCCGCGGGCCGAGGGCGGCGCTGGCGTACGCAGCGGAGTGGCGCGGTGGCGCCGGGATGGCGAGGATCGGGCGGGAGGTCCTCCTCCTCCTCCTCCTCCTCCTCCTCCTCCTCCTCCTCCTCCTCCTCCTCCTCCTCCTCCTCCTCCTCCGTATCGGTCGGGGCGGGAGCCCCCAGGAGGTTCACAGACCAGGCACTTGCCACCCAGGGTAGGGGCGTTTTTTCATGCCCCAATGTTCGGCCTCCCAGGGCCCTTGCCGGGCCTCGGGGCCGTCCCAGAATGACTCAGGATGGAGAAGCGGTCCCGCGGAATGGGCCGAGACCTCTGGCGTAGCGGAGTGGCGTGGTGGCGCTAGGATGGCGAGGATCGGGCGGGAAGTATCTAGGAGATATCTTCGGGTACAGTATGTCGAGGACGTCTCGAGCGAAACGGTCACTAGAGTTAGACTCGGAGTCCCCTCCGAGGCTTATTTGTCGAGGATGATGCCTGCACACGTTTGGCTTGTCCCTAGCCGCTTCCTGTAGGCCTCTGTCCTGGTACGTCTGTCCTGGCACGTCTGCGGGAGGTATCGGTCGGTGAACAAATCGAACGATTGTGGGTCGCCCGCGGCGTTCAAAATTGAACGCCGCTGGCGGGATCGCCGGCGGTCGACACGACACGAACCTACCGTACCGAGTCCGATCTAGGGGAACACAAAGTGAGTAGGAATAATCAAGTTGTCCATCTAATATATATATAAAAATCTATATAAAATAACCAAACAGTGATTCAAATAAATGACAGACACAAAAAAACTATACCAAAAATTAACAACTATAGTAACATAAAAAAACGCAACAATATAAAAACATCAATAATAGACAATAAAGCCAGGCATCGACGACATACAGTAGTGCTATCCATTACAGGCATCAGGAAGAGGACTAGAATAAACTAGACATAGACATAAAGGCTCGGAGGTCCGCCGGATTTCTCGGATCGGCGCTGGGGCCCCCCGGCGCCGCCTCCGGCGCCGCCCCTGGCGCGCTCCGCGCGCCAGGGAGGGGGCCCCAGCGCCGATCCGAGAAATCCGCGCGGACCTCCGAGTCTTTATGTTTATGTCACTTGTTGTTCCCATAATCGGGGAAGCGTAAGATTCGAGTACGCCAGAGCTCGGGTTTGCCGACGCTCGTTGACGAGCCCGTCCTGGATTTTGACCGTCCAGGTTTCGCGGGATGTTTGCAGCGGGAGTTCCCGTCAAATTTCGGATTGGGTTTCGTTGTTTTCATGATGGCCGCGTCAGGCCTAC